CTGCAGGCTCATTCTAATTCAATAAGGTTGTAGTTGTTTTTAAGATTTGAGGGGGAACTGACTCAATTCTCAAGACAAAGTCCTGAGACTTGATGTATTTTGTTGTAAATAACCAAAAAGGAAACATTCAGTTTAATCTATCTGACACCTCAAACTCTAGTAGTACAGATATGAAGTTTTCTTTGTTTTGCTTTTAGTAGTAATATATTTCATAGGTTAAAGAAATACTCAATTACATAATTTAATTTTATTTACATAACAAAAATCATCAGTTTTTGTTGTTGTTGTTGTTATTATTAATCCTCACCTGAGGATATGTCTCCATTTATTTTTTTAAAAAAAGAGTTTAAGGGAGAGGGAGAGAGAGACAGAGACAGCGAGAGCCAGCAAAAAAACACAAAAAACCCCATCAAAGTGAGAGAGACACATCGATTGGTTGCCGGACCCCCAGACCAGGGCTCGGATGAGCAGGAAGCTAAGACAGAAAAAAGTTAGGTAAACAGGGGCGGGACCTTGGGAGGAGGAGGTGAAACCAGGAACCCAGCGGGGCGGCGCTACTAAGGAAACCCAACTAGGGTGGGAAGGAAGGGTGAGCGGCAGAGGCGTGATCTTTAAAATGTATGGATTTTGCTAAGACAGACGGCGTGCGTCACCAATCACAAGGCAGTGAGGCAAGCATATATACAAAAAAGTGCGCGCCCCCCTTCCCCTTCCCCTGGCTCAGCTCCCTTGGGTACCGGTGGTCCTGTGGGGGAGCACATCCCGGCGACCACGTGGCGTAAGGCCTTGTGGGCCTCCACGCTGGGGCTAATGGACTTCAATTAGCTTGGATGCTGAACTCCTCCCGACTGTAACGTGGAAAGGAAGCTCCGGGCACTGGCCTGCTCCTGGGACCCCAGCTGCTCCTTTTCCAGGACTGGCTTCTCCCAGTGAACTTTGGTTCCATTAATCATTTTCACAAGATAAGAACTTGGACTCAAAACACCCACATTTTTGATCTCAGAACTGAGGTATGTGCCCTTGACTGGAATCAAACCCAAGACCCTTCTGTCCGTGGCCCGATGCTCTATCCACTGAACCAAACTGTGCAGCAGTGGTTCTCAACCTGTGGGTTGCGACTCCTGAAAATACATCCTGCATATCAGATATTTACATTACGATTCATAACAGTAGCAACATTACAGTTATGAAGTAGCAACGAAAATAATTTTATGGTTGGGGGTCACCACAACATGAGGAACTGTATTAAAGGGTCGCTGCATTAGGAAAGTTGAGAACCACTGGTAGGGCAAGGTTGTAGTTCTTTTATGTTATGGAAAATCAAAATGCCCAATGAGAAGTGTGACTCTCTAAGTAAAGGTCCCATGTCTCCATATGCTGTCTCAACAAGTGATGTCTGGGGATAAAAGCTGTGGGTATATAATTTATGAGTGGCACATTGGTGAAGTTTTCAAAACTATGCAATTTGCTTGTTAAAAGTATTTAGTTATAGTTCATGAGTTTTGTTTTATTGTGATGTGCCAAGTTACAGCAATTTTTTAAGATTTTGAATCTGAATTCAGTTCTGCATTTTAGAAATCCTGTGTTCTTCTCTCTCAAAAATATCTCAACTGTTAAAGTTTGTAAGAGAATCATCAAGCGTGGTAGTTATTTGCCCCATTGTGCCTGTTTATACTGTACAGCTTAAGGAGAAAAGGGCAGGAATAGTTCTATTCTGCTTCTGTCACCAACCACCAACCAGCAAGGGGACTTGGACAAGTCATTTTTATTTTTAAAATATATTTTATTGATTTTTTACAGAGAGGAAGGGAGAGGGATAGAGAGCCAGAAACATCGATCAGCTGCCTCCTGCACACCCCCACTGGGGATGTGCCTGCAACCAAGGTACATGCCCTTAACCGGAATCGAACCCGGGACCCTTGAGTCCGCGGGCCGATGCTCTATCCACTGAGCCAAACCGGTTCTGGCTGGACAAGTCATTTTGACCTCACTAAATCTCATGTTTCTCAGGGTGAATTAAAGAGTTTGTTTTGCGACTATATTTGAAATTGCTTTTGTGGGTGAACCAGATCTGCATTAAAGTATATAATGCACATAATATATACGATCCATATGTAATAAAGGAAATATCTACTTATATTTAAAAAATATTTAAAATCCATCATTTCATAGAAATACAAAAAGGGGGGGAGGATTTATTCTGTGATGATAACTCTCTTAACAACTTTGATATATAACATAGCAGTGTTAACTATAGTCATGTTGTATATTACATCCCTAGTACTGTACTTATTTATCTTATAACTGACTATCTTCCTTCAACCCCCTCACCCCCATACACACACCCCATCTCTGGTGATCATAAATCTGATATCTTTTCTATGAGTTTTTGTTTCTTTTTGTCTTTTAGATTCCACATATAAGTGAGATCCTATAGTATTTGTATTTCTCTGACTTATTTAACTTAGCATAATACCCTCAATGCCCATACATGGAAATGGCAGGATTTCTTCTTATTTTTTAAAAAAATATGTTTTATTGATTTTCTACAGAGAGGAAAGGAGAGGAATAGAGAGTTAGAAACATCGATGAGAGAGAAACATCAATCAGCCGCCTCTTTCACGCTCCCCACTGGGGAAGTGCCCGCAACCAAGGTACAAGCCCTTGACCGGAATATCGAACCTGGGACCCTTGAGTCCACAGGCCGACGCTCTATCCACTGAGCCAAACCAGTTCTGGCAGGATTTCTTATTTTTTATGGCTGGGATATATATATATATATATATATATATATATATATATATATATATAAAATTTCAAAGTGAAGCAAAATCTTCATCCACAAAACCCATGTGCAGCGGTTCTCAACCTATGGGTCGCGACCCCTTTGGCGGTCGAACGACCCTTTCACAGGGGTCGCCTAAGACCATCCTGCATATCAGATATTTACATTACGATTCATAACAGTAGCAACATTACAGTTATGAAGTAGCAACGAAAATAATTTTATGGTTGGGTCACAACATGAGGAACTGTTTTTTTTTTTTTAAATATATTTTATTGATTTTTTACAGAGAGGAAGGGAGAGAGATAGAGAGTTAGAAACATCGATCAGCTGCCTCCTGCACATCTCCTACTGGGGGTGTGCCCGCAACCCAGGTACATGCCCTTGACCGGAATCGAACCTGGGACCTTTCAGTCCGCAGGCCGACGCTCTATCCAATGAGCCAAACCAGTTTTGGCGAGGAACTGTATTTAAAGGGCCAGAAGGTTGAGAACCACTGCGCATGATGAATGATAGAACAACAGTTTAATTATTTTTCTAAAATATTTTACAAAATTTAGAAAAATCAAAAGACTTTAGTGACAAAGCACAGGATCTAATGTGGAATAAAAAAAATCCATGTAGCTCATTAAATACAAAGAGTAGTATACTATAAGCATTATCAGATAGTTACAGTTAGGATAATGCTATACTTTGTTTAGACTATATTGATAAAAAAAGACACACCATAAGGAAAGTTAATGTTAGCTCATAGACAGGAATCAGCCTGCATATTTATTTCTTTTTAGCAAAGGACTTTAGTTAGAAACCTTGAAACAAATACTTTAAACTTCAATGCAAGAGTGAACAAAATAGAAACAAACTCATAGATACAGGGAGAATAGACTGACAGCTGCTGGAGGGGTGAGGGTAAAGGACTGGGCGAATAGGTAAAGGGATTAAGCAAAAACAAAAACAAAAAACCTCATAGACCTAAGTATGGTGATTACCAGAGGGAAAGGGGAATGGGGGGAGTTAGGAAAGATAAAGGGGGATAAATGGTGAAGGAAGGAGACTTGACTTGGGGTGGTGAATACACAATACAATATACAGATGATGTGTTAGAATTGTACTCCTGAAACCTATATAATTTTATTAACCAATGTCACCCCAATAAAAAAAAAAAAGGTGAGCAAAATTCCCTGGCTTGCTTTTTGGCCACAATATTTCCTCCTAAAAGATTATTCCATTCACTTTCTACTCATGGTTTGGAGTAATCCAAGATTAAAACTCCTTTTTCTTTCAAGAGCATCTGTTTTTCAGCCAATACTCTGTCTTATTTCAGTCATTTTAAATTAAATTATAGGAAACTTTAGGTATAAGTATATTATCCCGTGCAAAAACAAAAACAAAATTTAAAAACGGTTACATTACTATTGCTTTCTTATTTATTTATTATTTTTTCTTTAATGTAATATATTTCAAGGTTAAAGAAAATGCAGAGTTGAAAAATAATTTCTAAAAATATAGTCTGTGTTTTTAGTCTCCATTAGGATACTACCTCTAGTGTTTTTTTTATTATTAGTTTTTATTTTATTTTGTTTTTTCCATCACCAGTTATCCCCTCTATGCCCTCTTCCACCTTCACCCCCCCCTCAGTCACCACACTGTTGTCCATGTCATGAGTTTTTTCTCTTTTTCCTCAACCTCTTTCCCCCTCCCCCAGCCCTATCTCCCCCGACCAGAGCTGTCCACCTGCTCTCTGAGTCTGTCTCTATTTTGCTTGGTAGTTCAGTTTACTCATGAATTCCACATATGAGTGAAATCACATGGTTCTTGTCTTTCTCTGACTGGCTTATTTCACATAGCGCAATTTTAAAGGGTATTCAGGTATCATTATATCACAAATTGCTTCCAAAAATGATATTTTACTTTTCCTTCTTGTTTCTAAGAAACTTGAGAAAGCTATTTTCTTTATTAAAAAAACTTCCTTTCTGGGGGGGGGGGGGGGTTGGGGGTTAATGGGGGGGATGAGGACACATTTGTAATACCTTAACTAATAATTAAGAAAAACAAAACAAAACAAAACAAAAAACTTCCTTTCTTTTCACTCAGTTTAACTGCCTATAAAAACAGTTTTCACCTACCATGTTGTATGGGATGTCTTTAACTGCTTTGTTCTATTCTTAGCTTCAAGATCGCTTTTGTTGTTGACATAATCGATCAACACCCTCCTGTTCCACCTTCCTTTGCCCCATCATCTCCTCGTTCCTCTCTGATCACCTGTCGAACTTGAGTGTCCCTTAGAGACAGAGAAGAGAAAGATAAAACAGGTTTAAGTAACAGCTTTTTACATTGTAGTTAAATATAAGAGAACAACTCATACCTTCTGTTTATAAAAACCTGTGTGAACTTAAAATAGCAAGATAAAAATATTTACACGGAGATACAATTATTTACAGTGAATTAACTTAGGCATCACTTTACCAATCCATATTAATTAGATTAAGCTACAAAAACTACATATCTTGGAAAATTACATTTTTTCTTTGACTTTACATTTTTAATTGGAAATGAACCTCATATTCATTAATTGAGATTTAATTGCACATGCCAGAATCTTATAACAATCCAGTCATGAAAGTTTTAAGGTACCTTATATTAATATAGTCAAAATGCAAATATTAAATATATGGCAGGAGAAAACTAATTACTCTATTTTTAGCTATAATGAGGAAAATTTTACTGTAGTGGTTAATATTAAATATTTATTGGCAAGCATTTTCTCTAAAATAAACAAAGAGCTTATTAAACAGAGATTAAATATATATATATACACATTAGTTATAATGTGTATATATATATAATATATATATATATATATATATATATATATAAACATTAGTTATAATAAATGCTACACTGTAGTGGAAGTAGTCTTACATTGCAGTGGAAATCCATTTAAGTGTTAATTCTCAATATGTCAGGAGCCATTTGAGTTATTAAGTGTGCCCTTTAACTCATAAACATTAAGTGTTATGAGTTGATTCATTTCATATATTGAAGTCCTAACCCCCAGTACCTGAGAATGCAACATTATTTGAAAATAGGATTGTTGCTGATGTCATTAGTTAAGATGAAGTCATACTGGAGTAGGTAGCTCCCTGACTCAATAAGACCAGTGTCCTTATTAGAGGGGATATTTGAACACAGACTGGCACACAGGAAGAACACAATGTGAAGACGAAGGCAGAGATCAGGGTGATGCAACGGAAGCCAAGGAATGTCAAAGACCCACAGCAAACAAGAAGGCAAGAGAGGCCTGGAGTATCTCCTCCACAGCCCTCAGAAGGGACCAACCCACTGACACCTTGAACTCAGACTTCTAGCCTCTAGGACTGTGAGACAGTAATTTCTGTTATTTAAGCTGACCAAGAGGGCCTTGGTATTACCCTCAGCTTGACTACATTTTAAAGAAGTTCCTTCCTGACTCTAGGCCCCTGAGCTTCCTTATCTTAACACATTTACTTCAGAAAACTTGCAATTATAAATTCTTTCTCTACCTTTGAGATGTAAGTCTTCTCATGCCTGTTTCATAAGCCAGGACCTGGCAGTCCTCTCTTTGAAATGCAAGCATCAAGAAAGGCAGGATCCCATATCCCCAGTCTGTAGGAGAATGGGAGCCTGACCTCATTCAGTAAGCATCAACTGGCAAAGGTGATGTCCTCACACTGACCCACCTACCCTGTTTTTACCTCCATTTTTTCCCCTCTAGCGCACCCTAGTGCTGAAAAATTCTCCAGCCTTTGTTTCAACACAATTGAGTTGAATCTCATCCTTACTGTAATCGTCATGAATAAAGACTTACTTGCCTATTTAACTCTGCCTGATGCAATTTTTCATGGACAAACCCAGCCAGTTTATGGTACTTTGTTACAGAAACCCTAGCAAACTAATACACTAAGTATCGGCTATTAAATGTCTGATAAATTAATAAGGCATAGAGCTTCAAATGCTAGATTGAGAAAGAGTGGACTTAGAGCAGAAGTCCTATCTCTAGAATTTTGTAGCTAGTAACACTTAGCTATAGTTTATAAATAGTTAAGAAACAGCTTTGGCAGCTATAAATAGTAAAAAAAAGACCATCAACTACAATGTTATATGGTGACATAAATGCAATATGTAAAGAATTTGGGGCAGTTTAGAATCAATTTATAATCAAAATATATTTGAATGTATGTATATATATATGTATACATATATGTAGTTTTATATATGCTAGCTGCTAGCACATATTTCAGTCATTATTGTTGAATATACCAAGTTTTGTGTAGATATAGCTATTATTAATGTTAAATTAATCATTTAATCATTAATAACTGCTGAATGATCACCTGAGTTTTTCATTTTCATTTTTTGGTAGATATTAAAGTATCCTTGAGACCTCACCTGCTTATAACTCTTCAGAGATTCTCTATCACATATAGATTAAGGTTACTGAGTACAAGTTCTTCCTTAAATACTTCCATAGAATTAAATCCCACAGCACCCACCATGCTCTCATAATGTAGAATCATATGCCATTTTGTTTCATTCATCATATTTTCTAGGTCACCCTTGTATTACTCATGCTGCCTCCTTGCCTGGAAAGCCCTTATACTTTTCTTTACCTGCTACAGTACACTCCTGCTCATTTCTTTAAGAGTCACCATAGTCACCAGCTCTTCTACCAAGTCACTGTGAATGTGGTGGTTGGAACATTTGATTATTGCTGGGCTATGGAGTACTCTTTGTGCCCTCTTTTTTTTTTTTTTTAAAACCACTTTCCATGTTATATATTAAATAATTCTGTGAATGCCTGGTCCTCTCAGACAGCTGTAAAATGCTGGAGAGCACAGTCAAGTGCTGGTGTTACTGATTGGGGTTACCAGCTGGATCTCAACCTTTTCATTAACACAGAAAAGATTTTAAGCTCAACGAAAATAAAAGTAAAGCAAAATGCAGTTTATTGAAGATACATTCCAAACGAAGAGCAGGAGGAGAGGGGGGAGGGGGAGGGGAGAGGGGAAAGGGAAAAGAGGAGACCGGGCAGCTTTAGCTCAGTGGGAAGCCAGAGAAAGGGGAGCCTTAGGGACAGGTTCAGGGGGTGAGCCCAGGGCGAGCTGCAGCTGCTCATCTCCCCTGGTTGCAAGTCTCATGGGGTTCCCTAGAGTTTGGGGGACACATGCCTGTGGGGGAAGGGAAGGGGAAAAAGAATGGCCTGGCCTTGCTACTTGGAGGGAGAGCCCGTGGGAAAGAGAGCTCGGCCCCCACCTCCTGGGTTTAAAAGAGGGATTTTCTGGGTGGAGCCTTTTATTTGCATCAGGGATGATTGACAGAAACTTCCTTTTTTCTGGGCAGGCCCTTACCCATAATGTATACGGGAAAAACCCATGGGGGCGGGGTCAAACAGAAATGCAAATTTTATTAAAATTAGTCCAGCCCTAGGAAGGTCGCATGGGCCTTGAGGCCACGTTTTCCTTGCGCTGGCGCCGAGTGCGGCTGGCTCCCACCTGCCTGCTGGCGGCTGGGCGGCCCATAGAGAGGGGTCTGAGCGCCACGCTGGTCCCACCCCTGTCGGGACCCGGGGCAGGCCCGCCCCAGCCGCTCCGGTCTGACTCCCTACCTAAGACTGGTATTTAATAAATGTCTATGAAAACAGTCAGAACTAGCAATTCTGTTTTTTCTTAGATAACGTATGGGTAAATGAATATTTTTCCCCACCTACAATAATGACAATTGCTCATAGTAATGCTATATCCAAATAAATATAACCATCAGGATTTTAATACATATCACTTGAGATTTGTAATTTATACAACAGTAACTAAACCATTTTTCCTATCAGATGTGGCTGTTTTCTTCCCCTGCAACTTTCTAACAACTGTGAGAGTAGTCAAAACATTTCAGTTTATTTTCCAAAAGTTCTGCTTTTCCATTCTTCCAGGATTGTGGCAGCTTTCAAACTGGTTTCAGCTGCCACTCATGTATTTAAACAGTGAAAATAAGTCAGTCTATGTGAGACAAAAACTCATATAAAATACTGTATATTATACCATTCAAATCTCAGATATTTGACAGGGTGCCATACAGCTATCGTCTGATATATGAATACCAGTTATCAAATGTTATTTTATACCCTGCTCATCCTTCTAAACTTTCATTCTGTGCTGTAGGACCATGTTGTAATTCATTAATTAGCATCATGCACTAATTAAATTACTGAGGACGAGATTTTCCTGTGGAGTGAAATTTCTAAGTAAATCGATGTCCCCAAATATATCCTCTGACTTTCTATCCAACCTGCCATTCTGGTATATGTAGATATTGAAACTGCTTCTTAACGCTTGTCTTTGCCTTTTCATTTCCACTCCTATAATCCATTTTCCACACAGCAGGCAGTGTGAAATTTTACCACACAAATCAGATTATGTTTTTCTATTTTAAAAACCCTTCAGCGGCATTCCATTGCCTTAAAATAAAATCCAAACTTTTTTCTACAGCCTGAAGGCAGTACAGGGACGGCCCCTACCTCCTCCCTCCTTCTGCCGCTCACACACTAAACTGCAGCCCATGGATCTCTCTCTGATTCTCAAACACAGCAAGGTTTTTATTTCCTTTTTGTGATTTTTGCATTTGTTGTTTCTCCTCCCTAGAAATTTTTTTTATTTTATTGATTTTCTACAGAGAGGAAGGGAGAGGGATAGAGAGTTAGAAACATCGATCAGCCCCCTCCTGCACGCCCCCCACTGGGGATGTGCTCGCAACCAAGGTACATGCCCCTGACCAGAATCGAACCTGGGACCCTTGAGTCCGCAGGCCGACGCTCTATCGAGTCTATCCACTGAGCCAAACCGGTTCTGGCTCCCTAGAAAAATTTAAACCTAATCTCCTCATGACTGTCTCCTTGTCATTATCAAAATTTCAAATTAGCGGTCTCCCCAGTCTACAGGATACCTGTGGTCACCTTTTATTCCTTTGGTTGTGTTCAGTGTTTCTTTACCCAACATCAGGCGACTACCTTATTGATACAGTCCTTTATCTCTCCCCCTACCTTTAGAATGTAAGTTGCATAATGACAGGAGATTCACCTGCCGACTTTATGCCTATGACACCACCAAGCACGTAGTAGCAGCTCAAAAATATTTGTTGAATCAATGAGTGAGAAAAAGAATTGTTGTAGGCAGTTAGACAGACATGAGCAGATCAAGGATGATGGGCCAGGTGCAGAAGAAACTCATCAGAGCAGAAAGCCCTGGGTGCCTAGCCAGGGGCAAAACTGGGAAGATAAGAA